AATTTGGGATCCTAATTAGACTCTCCCTCATAGTGAGTAACTTTTATAGATGAACAGCACTACCATAAGCTAGTGGTTATATTAGGACCAGGACAGTAGGATATTGTAGATAATTTATCTTATTTGAGAGGAATTTAACTCAGATGCTTGGGTAAAGCTGCATCTTGGAGACAGGTGCGTTCAAGTAAACAGCAGAGGGACCTAAAGGCTGCAGGACACTTTTGATTGCCAAGATCTTGCTTCATTGAAGCAGTGTCAGTGTTTCCACCCATTTTACTTCAGTTTGTTATCATTCAGGTATTCACTGAATAAATGGCCTTCTGTTGGAAAACAAGTAGCTGAGCAAATATGTTAAGTGAAGTTGGCAGTTCATGATCTACAATAGAATGAATTAACAACATTTTAATATCGTTACTGAGTCATAGTTACGGTTCAATAAGCCATTTACCTCAAACTTTAGGTAATTGTTAAATAAACAAAACAGGAAGCTGAAAATGGAAGCACATAAAGAATCTTAATCGAGGAAAATCAGAAGAAAAAATTCACCTCTTTTTTTTTGTAGTATGCTTGCTAGAGCACTTTTTGATATATCTAAATCAAAATAATAAGCACCTCAACACATTTAAAGCATAATAAAAAGGCAAACCATGCACATGGTTGGTAAGCCCTTGTTTTTGCAGACGTGACTGGTTTTCTCATTTGCAGGATCATATTTGCTGTGAACAAAGGCTTCCTGATTGTCATATGAAGTTGACTAGAAAGCTGTCCTGCAGCTAGAGAGATATCAAATATTAATATTTGTGCTCATGTAGCCAAAGGTATGTGTATTGGATAGGTCTTGAATCTTACAGCCTCTTTTAAAAGCCAAATACAATTTAAAAATTACAGTGATAAATCAGTGCAATGTGTTTTGTCAATAACTGATGCTGTAAAGTCAGATACAACCTCTGAGTCTAAGATAAAGCCAGATGAAGCAGACACAATTGTGTTTACCAAGGAAGGAAATATCTTCTCTTTTTTTCTTTTTTTTTTTTTTTTTTTATTTAATTAAGTTCAGAGTAGGAGGCAGCAGGAGTTCTTGTGTGTTAAAGACACGGACATACATAGGCATAGATCTTCACTCTATATTTTAAATACAGGGCTTTGCAGGGTATCCTGAGCTGTTGTTTAATGAATGAGTTAAAATAAAGTTGTGGTTTGTGTCACAGCACAAATAGATGATGTCATGCAAGCCTTGCAGTATGTAATGCATCAGAACAGTTTCTTCTTTCATTTTGGATAAATACTGACTTCTAGGGCCATTGCCTGAAGAACATTAAACAGTATCTGTCTGTCCCATGATTACACACAAGTTCCCCAGTGGGTCTGACACGACCTTGCTTTTAATAACTGGGCCTTTTGCTTGGCTTCATTCTTGCAAAATAAGGCTGCAACAGCAGGACATGTGTTGACCTTTCATCTTTTGGAAGACATGGGAATCGGAGAGGAGTTCGCTGCTTGTCAGGAGGTTCTTCCTCCACCTTCCCAGGCAAAAAGAGTGCTCAAGCAGAAATATGTAAATATTGGGTACTCACCTGGTGATCCCTCCATTTACCTTTTGGCTTTTATGCATGCTGGCCATTAAGGTTTGAAGTTTTGATGATCTCCTGTAAGCTCTGTCTTTTTAAAACAAGATTGTCGCTCTTCCTGTAGTGTAACCATGGAAACAGACAGGGAATCCTTAAAGAAAGTGATCGAACATGCTGTGTTAATTAATCCTACCCTTCAGTTTTCTTTCAGTTGAAGGATGTGGTTAAATAAATTTTGCATGAGTAAGCATATTTGGATGTGCAAAGGGATATAAAATATGTAGCAAATTTTCTTGCAGAAGGGTATCTGAAAAAGCCCTGGTAGCTGTCATTTATTTGCATCTCAAGCATCAAAACAAGAAATGCAGTATCTTGTTGGTGTTTCATATATATATTTTGTTAGCATTCTTTTTGTACTGTAAATATAGCTGAAAGATGAGAGTATTTTTTTCATGTCTCAAGTGTGATGAGAGACATTTGCATTAATTTTGAGTCTTCGAGTGAAAGTGTTCATAATTGCAAATGCCTTCGTTATGCAGAATGTTATTCAGAAAAAGCAAAGGTTGCTCCCTCCCTGAGAGAAAGCAGCTCCTCTGAGGCATTAGCCTAATTCAGGTCCTTTCAGTCCTACACAGGGGGAGTGACTGATTGAACAGTGGGACTGTGCCAAATTTTCCCCTGCTTTCTGTTGGGTCATTTAGTTTCCAAAGAAGTGTATGTGCCCAACTAGGAAACCAACTGGCCACAACTGAAAACATATGGCCTCTACCCATAAGCCTCTTGTCGTGGTTTAACTGAAACCAAGACAACTCTTAAACCCAATGATGCTGTCTGATGCCAGTGCATGGCCTCAACTTGCTTTTACAAATTAAGGCTTTGTTTGTAACTTCCTCCCTTCCAGTAACAATCTTCTTATAACTGAGAAACCAGATGCAGCAGCTAACCTTAAAGGAGCCTTTCATTGTGTGTAAGGAGTGAAGAATGGATTAAAGAAACACATTTAGTTGCCCAACAGGCTTTGAAAATCAGATGAATTTTAGTTAACCTGGACTGGATTAGAGGTGGAGGTGATCTAGAAGCAATATGCTGAGGCAGCACCATGGGTGGCATTCCCAGCAGGATGGGAGGACTGCTTCCATGCTGAACAGTCACAGAAGAGGAGGAAAGTTGTGCTTGGGCTGACTATAACACTTGTAAAGCTCCATTCTGCCCAGCAAAGTGGCAGAAACTGGCAGGCAAGCATGGATATTGTATTATTTGCAGTATGATTTCTGATATGGCAATTTGGGTACTCATTCCTCCCTGTATGGGAGATTTCTGGAGTGTGTGGATCAACAGCTTCATGTCATGGAAGTCTGAATTTGGTTTTAATCCCACAAGCTCTAAAGCTTTTTGACACTTCCCCCAAAATACATGGTGTTGCTAGCTTCTTAAAAATGCCTTTCCCCTGCCTGCTTATGTCTCTTCTATCAAAGCTAGGTAGGAGACTAGACAGGACATTGTTTGCAACCAAAGTCAGTGTTCCTCAGGCAAGACTCAGGGAGGGCTCAGACAGGCAAAGCAGGATAGAGTAATTCACCATCCAGACCTCTCAAATCCCTGAATAATTTTTATATTGCTTAATATTACTAGATCCATATCCACAAATTCAGGGAATACTGTTTCAGTTTAGTCACATGGAATATAGGTATATATGCTCAGAAACTCAGGCTTGGTAGTGGTTCTATGTGCTAGGAATAAGAACTGTTCAGCAATAAGAACATTTGGCTGTTTCTGGTCTCCTAGAAGCAAAATCATTAATCTGGAGGCAGAGGCACTGTGGAGCACAAGATGTGACCTCTCCTCTGGCTTCTTTGGGGCTGTACCTGGCCAGCCCTGGGTTGTCTTTGTGAGCCAGCTTATTCATCAAGCTGGTGGCCAGGTGCACATATGCAAAAAGAATGGAAGTCTGAGAACTTTGAGAAAAATGGTTATTCATGTTTCAAATGCAATTTTATAAGAAGAAATCATGGCATACAATTCAAATTATTCCCCTACACTGGTCTAATTGCTATAATCAGCTGATAATGCAATCTGCTGGCAAGATTTGCCATCATTACTATGGAGATATATTCACTGAGACTAACTGTTCTTAAATAGCTTTTCCAGTGTGTTAGGAATAAAGGGGCAAAGGGCTCTCATCTGTACTCATATGTGGATTCTCATGTTGCTTATTTCTTTCTGTGTGTATGGCTGCTTCTTCATTTCTGTAAGACAAAACCTTCTGTTTTAGTAATTTCATTTGTTTTGTGAAAGGGAAATGTGTAGTTCTTTGTTTAAGAAGACACAAAAAACACCCACTGTTTTAGTAATTTCATTTGTTTTGTGAGAGGGAAATGTGTAGCTCTTTGTTTAAGAAGGCACAAAAAACACCCAGTAGTGCATTCTCCTGATTTCCATTACTTGTGCATGTCCAGTGTTCCCAGTGAGGGAGAGGATGGTCTCAAGGCAGTAGCTAGGAGCAAGTAATTTGAAAAAGGCATTTGCAGGCCCATGATGGGAACTGTCACCATAGGCCTGAAAATTTTTTTCCAATTCCTAGAGGAGAGTCTCTTGTGTAGGAGAAGCATCCTTGTTTAGAAAAGTATACTCTCTCCTTCCAGTTTTAGCATATGAGAAAAAAATAATCTTTTTTTAGGAGAGACCCTAATTTTACATTATGGCTGTGTAGGAATGTGAATTATTTTAAATGACTGACAAGCTTAAAAGACAATTACTGTAAATACTGTATCTTTAGTAGGCCACACATTCCATTGAAATGATTTCTGTGCTTGGTGCACTGCCAATACATGTTTGTTGAGAGAGAAGAATTTTTCACATACCATTTTCTGGTGTATTAGTTCTGTATTAATATTTATTTGAATGGTAATATGTAAGTGTGTCTACTGCTATCCAAGATGCATAATCTTGGATAAACAGGGTGGGGTTTGCAGTGTAAGCTGTGGAAGGTTTCCTTAGGCTTCCCCAAAAACCCAAATCTCATCTGTGGCATCACTTCTCTGGGAGTTTTCATTTCCTTTTTCTAAATAACACTGAAATTAAATGGTGTCGATGCCAAAAGATGAACATTTAATGGAAATGAAAAACTTTATTTGTCTTTTATTTAGGTATACCACAATGTATCTTTGCATCTCTTCTGGGCCTGTTGTTGTCATTATGAAAAGCATATTTTATTATCCCTTCATAATATTCATAGCTCTATTTAGCCAGGTACTAAATGATAGATGCTACCATGTTCTTTCATTAAGTAACTTCAGTGCTAGAAGAAAATAAGGCTTGCAACATGCTGTCAAGTTATGTGATGTGTGCTCGTGTATACTTTTAGGATTGTAACTATACAGCAAACTATTACTTTGTTTTGTTTACATTAATTTATTTGTGTTTACCCCACAGGTCTTGCAAGAGCTAAATCAGTTCCCAGTCATACATATTCCAATGAAGTGGTAACCCTATGGTACAGACCTCCAGATGTCCTTCTGGGATCAACAGAATATTCCACCTGTCTTGACATGTGGTAAGTATAGAAGACAAGACTTTATGTAGATACTTTAGCTCTTGAATTTTTTTTTAGACATGTAAACCAAACGTGTAGAACAGTGGTACAGGTTTGAAAAACATGTATAGTGACACATGTGGTTCACCCAGTATCCTCCTAAAGGAATCCCCTCCTGCCACTGCACCTGTTGGCAGTCAGTAGCTACTGTTGACACAGCACTAGAAGATGCATTGGTGCTTTGCAGGAGAGACTGAGTTATTGCTTGACCTTTGTAGTCTTAGTGTGGTACGTTCATGTGATATGACACTTGTTTTGCAGAAGATAAGACTTTTGCCATCCCACCTGTAGCAAGGAGAAAACCAGAATTCTCTGGATGTGAGAATACAGTCTCAGTTTTCAACCTGCTGTACCTGTTAGCAGTAAATCAGTGTGTGACACATCACTGAATAGTTTTCTTTCAAAACTACAGATTTTATTTTGACTTGCAGATTCGAAAGGGCAGATTAATTTGTACAATATATAGCACCTTGGTGTTTTTTGACATCATTTAGTCCCGTGTTGAACAAAGAATGTATTTGGGGTTTTGACTGTTAAAAACCAAGGCAGAGCTTCTTTATTTATCCTGTAGGTTTTGAGGGCACAGGATCTTGGTAATCTATACAAATTCTGTAATTATAGGAGCATCAACTGCGTTTGAAGCAATACATATTGATTGAAGAAACAGAAATAGGTAATCTATACAAATTCTGTAATTATAAGAGCATCAACTGCATTTGAAGTAATACATGTTGATTGAAGAAACAGAAATGTAGAGAAAAAGAACTTTTCCTTACAAAGAAAGTCTTATGCTCTGGAATATGTTTGGGTTTGTTGTTTTCTCTTTTAATGTGCATTTGACTTTTTAAATCTATACAACTTGTTCATTTGAGAAGTTTCAGGAAAATACCATGATTTTTTTTGCAGTTTGCTGAAATATCTTTATTTAACATAGGCAATATAAAGTTAGAATTATGATTATGTTAAAATCTAGAGGTAAGTGTAAGATAAGGTTAAAAGTACCTTATGTTTTCATAGAGTGGGTGAATAATACTTTTCAAGATAATCTTGCTGTGTAATACTGATACTGATGACCTAGCAGGAATATTTATTTTTTTTGCTGAGGAAGGGAATGAAGCATGACAATGTTGTGTGTAGTCCTGTAGCTGGAATCTGATAATTTAGGATTAAAACCTTCATTTTCCAGAAAAAATCTCATCTAGTTTTTCCCCATAGCACGGTGAACTCTTGACTCTTGAGGGCAGGAGTTAGGAGCTGCAGGATTGTTTCATTTGAAGGGGTTAAACAGTATAAATACTAGAATATCTAATACTGAAGAGAGTGTTTAATATAATTGGGCCTCTGGCTGCTGCAGTCCCTTTACCTGTAAGGGGAGGTGAACCAAGAGGCAAGAATGGGAGGGTAATAATGCAACTGCATCAGGGAGGAAAAGGCAGCATATGCTGTATCAGCTATCTGGTGTTCTTCAGACCTCTTCTCCTCCTCACAGATCTAAAGTCTTTCTGCAGATCCTTCTGCATCTTAGCTTCTCATCTCTCCCAAAACTATTCTGTTTTCCCAAAGATCAGGTTCAGCCTGGTGTCTTCACAGATTGTATGCAATCTTGGTAACCCATCTGCTCCTGATGTTTTGCAATCACCTCTTTCCTAAGATATACCTCAGACACCCTCAGCAAGCAGCTCACCTTGCTTGGGGTGAGGCAGAAAAACTGACTGAGAGGATGGAAATAACTGGGAGACATAAATAGTACTTTCTGCTCATCTTCTCATAGTTCCCTCTACAAGTGTTCAGTTCATGAGAGTCACATGTCTTTGTGGATGTCTGTACATAGATGTGGCAATTTGTAAACTACAAAGAATATATGGAAACCTAAAGAAATTTTTGAATGCTTTAATAGAGCAAATTGTGCAAAATGTACTCTAAAATGCTTTTTTAGTTAAAAGATGCTTTGGATTTTTTTTAACATTTCCTGATTAAAAGAAAAAATTGCACTTTGAAATTAAGGGTTTTTTTTGTGTGGGTTGTTTTTTTCTTAAACTGAACAAAGGATTTATTAAACATTTCTGATTATTGCTGAAACTTTTTCCACAAATAAAAATAGTTCACTCAGAAGTTTCAATAGCTTGTCAAAAATAGATCTTTTAACATTCTTCCCAATAATGGTTTTAGTAAAAGAGCTATTAAAAGGTCCAGTCAAACTTTGTGGTGTTACTGTGATAAAGATCAAATTAAGTCATGCAGCTAATAGAAGCACTTTAAACATGCTATAAATGCAGACTGAGCATTTCCTTCATAATCATATGTTTATATTCAAATTACATGGACAGCAGGGAAGATCGAGGAAGGCCTCAAAATGCTAATTCAGCAATCTAGCTCATTATTTCATTTTCTGACAAAAATGATGCAAGAATATTGGGGAAGAACACAGTAATTACATCTTCAATGATATCAATAAATGTTTTCCTCTTGCGCAGAGCATTTCATACAGGTCTAAAACAGATCCAGACAGTGAGGGACAGAGGTGATGTGTTCTGTTTCAAATGAAAAATGATGTCATACTCCCTTGTACTCGATTTGTAACCCTAGCAATATTTTTGCTGGCCTGTACAAACTGAAGAACTAGGAGAAGCTTAGAAGAAAGCCCTAGTAATACAGTTTCTTTCACATGGCAGCAATTTATGTAGAGGCTCAGCTACTGCCACATCAGAAATCAGATTAGAGAAAATGTGTATTGTGTGTGACAGAAGAGCTTTAGATTTTTTTCTTCTAGGCTTTGCTGGGTTATCTGAGACAGCACTTCCAGTTTGATTGTGAGAGGTGTAGTTACATGTTAAGGTCACTTATGCTTACTTGGCACATCTAACAGTGTGCTCTGCTGGAGCACAGGCAGGCTTGAGGCTGTGCTTACACAATGCTTGTACATAGCTGGTCCATAATTACATTTAAACCACTTAGTGGCTTCCCAGAGTGGGAGGAAGGGAGACATGGAGAAACCTGCCTACCATCAGATTCCAAGATAATTTGGTAATTTGCTATCAAAAGTGTGTTTGTAACATTAGCATTTTTATGCAATTACTGGCATTATGTCCTTATGGCAGATAGTGTGCACTCCTGTGTCATTATTGATGATCTACATGATGACAAAACTAGGCAGCCACTTCACTAAATATTTAAATAATGTTGAGGTAGAAAGCACAGCTGTTTCCTCTATTTAGAGAGAAGGGGGAAAAAAAGATGCAGGGCCTTTGCTATAGCCATGATGAATGACATTTCATGGTGGTTCCCCAGGAAGGGAAAGCGAGGCTCCTACTGAGTAGAGGACCAGCTGCATGAAAAAAGAGTCCAAATATTAACCACTGGACAGTGGCTGGGAAGCAGGTGGCAGAGGCTGCAGGCTATTTTTACACTTCATTTGCTGGTGTAGAGAATTAGAATAGTAACTAACAGCTAATGATCCACATGCAATGTTACATTCTCCTGCATTCTTTTTTAAATAGCCACTGGCGATAAAATAATATTAATGAAGACATACATGCATTAGGGGTGTCAGGCTGGTGATGGAAATCAATGCAGTGGCCTTTGTGATTTACTGCTGACAGCGTTTGATACAGCAGTATTATGTGAATGTATTATACTACCCACGACTGCTTCAAAGAGTTGTGATAACCTTTGATATAGATTTTTTCCCCCTCCCCTCTTGATGAGGACTTACTAGTTGCTAGGAAAATGGCTTTGCATTGCCTCTGGTGTAACTTGTCCTAATCCTTGAATTTTACAGTCCTTTGAAAGTCAATGCAAGGAAAATAGGCTTTGACACATAAAGGGTTTATGGGTTACTAAAACCCATATATAAAGTAACACAGAAACATAGGGGGGAAAAATATCCTCAAATTAACCTATTCTATTTGTTCCTTACAGGAAGAGTATGGTATTAGTAAATGAAGCAATTTAAACAGGTTATTAAATTCTTTTTGATTCTGGTAATGCATGTGCTGCTGCTACATCTGGGTTGCTTACATCAAGAAGTCACTAGGGATATTTTTATTTTGAAGTGCAGCTGGCTTTAAACTGTGTTTGCTAACACCTGGTTATTTTTTTGCATATCCTGTTGTTTTGCCTTAAAAAAAAATACACTCTTAGTACAGGTAACCTAAGCAGTTATGGGCCAGGATATATTTTGAATTCACTTCTATTAATTAACTTCAGCTATGTTTAGTGCTGCGGAAGAAATAAATTAAACTAGGCCAGTCAAATGTTACGAAATTGCTTCTTAAATAACTGTTACTTAACACTGTAACATCTGGGTTGATATACATGTTTTCAAATCTGGTCTCAGTTTAGGGAAACCTCTTCATACGGAGCTTTTCTTTCCTATTATTAGAAAAATGAATGGTATTTTTTTATACATTTTTATACACTTTTCACACATAGCCTGCTCTGAGTATGGATTTGAGCACTCACTGTAGTTCCATGTGTGCTTTCATGAATATTTGACCAATGAAAGCCTACTATGGTAATTAAGATATTTATTGCATAAAAATGGATCTTGTCTTAGACACAGGTGCACCAAATGATGTTTTTTACACAGGAGATATTACAAAGGCATCTTTATCCTTTTTTTGCTATAAAGGGTTTGCAAGGAGAAAAATCTGAGAGCAGCAGTCCCAGTATGCCCTGAAGAAATACTTCTTGGGGCCTAAGAGAAAACTGCATAGGGGAAATTAGCTCTTTTGCCCTTGATGTTCTTCAGGATTATGACTTCCACTCTAAAGAAATGCTGATATATGTAGGATTAGGGTATTAAGTTGATATTGCAATAACTATCAAGGTGTTTTTAATTAAACTTCTCTCATTGTCAGTGAGTTCTTCAAAAGTTTTATCAGCCAAATTAGCTTTGGATTGGAAAATTCTATCCGGTCAAATTCATAGAAACATTTTGTGTGAGAAAACTCTCTGGGAAA